AAAAAAAAAAAAAAATCACGTGTATTAAATATTCAATTTATTTTAATTAAATATAATATTTTGGTACATAATAAGTCTATAAATAATTATTTAGTATTACAAACTGCAGTAAAATGTTGGATTATAATTTTTTTTTAAAATACTTTTAGAAAACAGTAAATGATTCAAGAATTAGATATAATTTATTACACAAAAAATGTCAACAAAGTGTTGTTGGTTGTCATTCTTATTATCTAGATGTATATAGTTCGAGTCGTTGACCATAAAAGTTCATAAAAAATCGTTGATTACTCAGACTTAGAACGGGCCGGTAAAGGGTTTGAATCGCTGGATTTCTGGCCTACCGCTCGAGCCGAGTTTAATGACAATGTCTTGACCTAAATTTGTTCAATTCTAATAAGGACACAATAGTCTCTTCACGTTTAATCAATTAAAAGAAGCCCTTATTTTATGATCATTATTTTGAAAAAAAAAAATGAAGTTTTGAATAATGATTTTTTTGGAGAATGTGTAGTTAAAAAGTAGAAAAAAAATTTGAATTTACGTGCAAAATATTTACTATGTAAATGCGATTAAAAATGAATATGAGAAATAATTTATTGATGTGACCATTCATTGCAGTAGTCACTCTACCAATTTAAAATGTCAAGTCTATGGTCATACGACTGCAAACGATCAAAATATTAAATGCGCCTAAGCCTAGGATTTACAGAATGACGCATATGATAAGTTGATTCGATAGTTAAAATGAAGTCAAGTGTCTCTCCATCCAACGGTTATTATTTCCCCTCTACTACTATACAAAGATGTCTCTTCATCAACAGACTTACCCTCATGTAAAAGCTTTGCCTCTAGTTCAAATACACCCTATCAAAGGCTGCCTCTTCATCAACACGCTCACCCTCATGCAATGGTCTCACGTCAAGTTCAAATTCAACCTCATCAAATGTTGTCTCTTCATCAACAAGCTCACCTCATACTAGGGCCTCGCCTCAAGGTCCTCGTCCTCTTGCAAGGGCACCTCAAGTTCAAACTCAACCTTATTAAAGGATGATCTTTATCAACAGACTCGCCTCATGCTAGGGCCTCACTTCAAGTTCCTCATCCTCATGTAAGGGTCTCACCTCAAGTTCAAATACACCTTATAAAAGACAACCTCTTCATCAACATGCTCGCCCTCATGCAAGGGCCTCACCTTAAGTTCAAATTCAGTCTTATCAAAGGCCACCTCTTCACCAACAGACTTACCCGCATGTAATGGCATCGCCTCAAGTTCAAATAGACCTCATCAAAGGATGTCTTTTCATCAACAGGCTCGCCCTCATGCAAGGGCCTCATCTCAAATTCAAATTCAACCTTATCAAATACTGATCTTCATCAACATGCTTGCCTTCGTACAAGGATCTCGCTTCAAATTCAAATTCAGCTTTATTAGATGCTGCTCATTCACCAACAGGCTCACCCTCAAACAAGGGCAACACCTTAAAATCAAGTATGCACACTACCACGGTAAATCTACTTATATTATAAGTTTTATGTTCACACATTATATGAATATCCATGCTTCAACTTGGGTGACCCTTGTGCTGCATTATCTCTTTGCGATCGAAGAATCTTAAAAAGGGCACAATTCAACCAACACAAAATACTCCACGCCAAGACATCGCCTATTCAAAAATTGAACACACGGCATGGACAAGACAACATACTTGAACCCAAAAAAAGTCAACACATTATATAAGTATTTCATACATGAACTAGGGGTTTATTATTACGCCCCTTCCAATTTAGGCTAAAAAATGGCCACATTGTAACCACACCTGAGTAAACCCAAGCTCATACTCCACGTGGCAATTTTGTTGAACCTCCATGAAGAGATTGAACTCCCAAGGAAAGGCTAAACCCTTGTAAAGGGGCCGAACCCAATTTCACTTTTTCTTTATGTTATTTTGTTTCTCCATTTTTATTATTTTAAGTAATTAAACATGATTAGACTATTTTGCTTTTATTTAAATTAGTCAAATAAAGGTCAAATACTTGACTTTCGATCAACTGACAGATTTTTGAACTAAAACAATTAGAAGTCCTTCCGACTCACATTTTTTTAAAATATTAAAATGTAGGTTCTATAATAAAAAAATTGGAACCACACCGTATATTTTTGAAAGGCTTGGGATCTCTACAGAAAATTTTCCTTAATTATTTTCACTTTCTGCCTTTTGCTTTCAAACTATTCAGCTCAAATAAACCCACCTAAATGTGTAGAGCACATTCGGTACAACCTGATTCTATCTAGCCTGATGTACCAAAGCATACATTGAAAATAGAGCACTTTCTTTTTTTTTTTTTTTAAATATATAAACTAAAGCATGCAAACGACAATGGCTACTTATATACATAACATGCTAAATAGCCTATTGAAGAGAAGGCTTCATTCCAAAAACTTAACCGCAAGCCTATTCAAAAGAGATCTCAGCTCAAGTTGGTTCGTTGACCATCAATATTCTACTATTAGTTTGCCTTCTGATGCATCCATATGATCTAGCATTCGACTCCTGATATTAGTTGCTTTCAGGTGGAGCTTGATGGCATGAGTAAGTTGGAGCTAGGTATTTAACTCAATAGACGACTATGCTAATGAAGGAGAGGGCATGCCCTCCGGGGGGCAGGGCACAGGAGCTGGCTGTGCAATAAAAGTTGGAACAATATCTCCGGGCATCAGCACTGGAACTTCTCTGGCATTAATTGGTATCTGGGAAAACGAGGCATATATAAATCAGAAGGTCTAGATTCAGAACTAAAGTGATAAAGTTTCGAAAGAGATAATCTTCTGGATAGCTTCAAAAATATGCTGAAGCACGTAAAGTTGAATATAAACCTCGAGAATGGAAAAAGCTCAGTCGGGATCTATCATTGGCAGAATGCGGATTATTGCCAATCTTGTAAGAAGTTGATGCAACTTATAAAATAAAACCAAGATATCAAAAATAGTACTACGCTACTATTTTATAACATTAATCAAGAACTCCTAACTTATATTATGCATTAAAAATTATACCTACATGTTCTACTGGAGAAAAGAAAAAAAAAAACAAGAATACTGATTTCAGAACGGCAAAACAAGACTAATGAGAAGCAAACACTGAAGGAAAAGCAAGCACAGGCCATTCCATGTTACTGGTCCTGCAGCATGTCCAACAGAAAATGACGAACACAAAAATAACTACTTTGATCATATCTACTAAACACATGAAAGACTGAAATCTTTCTGTATGTAGTTAACTGTAGCAACTGATTGGCACGTAAAATGCAGATATAACAGAGAGGCCTACACACATAATTCTGAGTACACATTAAGATGGACAACAAAAGAGATACAGCATTCCATTTCGAGCTCCAAAGGAAATTTGCTCAGATAATTAATCTCTAAATAAGTTTCATTATGATGTTTTATTTGGATTCAATCAGAGAAGTACAATGCTAGTCAGTGCCCAAATCATGCAGTAAGTATACTATACCGCCTGATATAATTCATAAATAATAATTAGCATCAATAGATAAGGGTTAATTCTGAATAGCAGTTAAACCATAGATATTTTCTTCCTGTTTATAGTTTGTTTGCAGGAAGAATTCTTTTTAGGGAGGCAAAAATAGACAAGAATACAAATGAGAAGTTCATGTAATTGCACAAATAGACACGGAATCTGAACAACCCATGCTACCCACTTGCACTACACTCAAGACATAGTCACAACTCACAAGACTGAAAAGGTCATCACATCTCACAAGACTTAAAAGGTCTATCAAATAAGAAGCCTAGAAAGGTTGCCATAAAGCATAAGTTACATCTCATTCCACCTGTATTATCCCTAAAGCCTGAGGCTTTGAGTTGGATGCATAATCCCATGACTTTGTCCGCCCACATATCTCCCAACTTGAAGATAAAGCATTTTATCGTCCACCTCAATCTTTAATGCACTGGACTAATATTATAAGCAAGCAAGATAGAAGAACAATAAATAATTCAATAAATAACAAGGAACCAAGTTGTGCATATAATTAATGATATAATGACATTAAACAAAAATTTCGTAGGTCAGAAACCTGTCTCCACACCCCAGGTTTGGCCACGCGGGTTATCGAAATACAAGTAGTGATTGGCCTAAAGGAGATCGTGTAGTTGTACAGTGGTGGGGCTATGGCTAAGGCCCCATAATGAAGAATTATGTATAGGCGTATAGCTTAGGCTCTCATTAATTTGTAGTTGGGATCAATCAACCAGCTAACAACTCTTCAATGGGCCATCATGCTAAACATCAAATACATGGAGGGCGTACCTAGTGTCCCAAAATCTGGGAAATATGCACTTGCTTATATGTAAAATATTTTGACACTTTCGACAATAAAACATCAGATGAACTAATCTGTTTTTCTGTTTCTTTCTAGACAATTAGCCTCTGGGAATTTCCATAAACTTTTTTATGGAAGAAATTTCAAAATTTCCGTATCCATGTCAACATGAAATTCCTCTTAAATCAGACAATATTGCAGCAAAAGTGCAAAATTCAGATAACGTGCAAAACTAAACCTAGGAACATTCAATTCAGTTTTCCAAGGTAGGATATTCACTGACGAACAGAAGTAGAAATTTAGGATTCATTAATTGAAATGAGAAGAGGGAGTAATCACAGGTTATCAAAACAATAAAATTTATAGCTAGATATACATATGGCCCGATATGGGTTTGTGGTAACAAATACTCACTTTAGGTGATGGGTGCCCAAGCTTTGAATTGAACCTACTAATTATGTGATTCTGAGACTCAATGTCAGTGCGGCGGCGGGGGTCACTGGAGGGCGTGAGATCCGGCGAGGTAGTTCTGAGGAACTTCTCAAAGATAGCCATGACAAGAAACATAGAAATGAGAATGGCGGTGGCAACAAACCCAAATGAAACTGCATTAACCGAGTTATCAAAATGGGACCAGTGGTCATCTTTCTGTACGTATGGAGGCGCACTACTCGGCGCCGGCGGCCAACCCCTAAAGCCCTCTTCTTCTACTCCCATTATCACTATTTTTTCTCCAACTAAGCTTATCTTTTAGCAGTAATACTGTTTAAGATTCTGTAAGAGAGAATGCGAGAGGCACGAGGAGTCACCGGAGGTTGAACAGGAGAGAGGGCGCACACTCTGGAGACTCTGACGATGTACGCTTTTGAACGCTTCTAAAGAAGAGTTGGAAATAGCACCCCCACCCCACCCCACCCCACAACCTTCCCCCACGCACCTGTGATTTTGACAGTTGAAAGGAACGTCTTTCCGTCTTCGATGATTTTCACTCACATGACACCGTTAAGCTCCTGAACTTGCGCCTTTAATTTTTTTAATCCGTTTACGAGAAAATTGAAACTCATTTATTTTATCCTTGTTATTTTTAAAGAATATTATTCTTGAATTAAGCTAAATGTACATACGGTCGGTTCACAGATGTCTTATCGACCTTCACATGAGGTGGGTCCCGACCTGATTCAAATTTGGTTCAAATTTTTTCCTGCCCTCCCTTGTGTGTGATCTGGAGGACTTCTGTGAACCACGTTCTATAAGTGTAGCATTACTCATTCTTCTTTTTACTCTCACATTCTTCAATGGAATAATATTTCACGTAAATTTAAAATTTTCTTTATTTTTTAACTACATATTTTTTATCAACCTGCTATTTCAATAGAATGGGGCTCAAACATTATGAAAAATACTGATTAGTCTATGAATGATAAGTTCGCCAATCTTTTGGGTCCAAATTTAATGGCATCTAGTTTGCAAATTTTGACAATGATTAAAGTCTATAATGTTAAAAAAACATTTTATAATAATTATCCACCAATAAGGATCCGTTTGATTGTAAAAGTGAAATTTGAGTAGAAAGAAAATGAATTTCAGCGAATTAAATTGCCTATAATTGTTTTCCTGGAAATTGTCAATTAATTGTGTTTGATATATATAATTTTCCAAGTGAAAAATATTAAAATTTTGGATCCTCGTTTGACTTTGTTTTATATGAAAATTGTCTATTAAAGAAATAAAATTTATTACAATTTGGGATAAAATTTATTTTCATTACCAAAAAAAATTAAATTTAAAAAAAAAAGTAAATTGGAAAACCAAATCTCACCAAATTGGTGGGAATTGATTTTCATAAAAAACAAGGAATTGGTATCGTGTGAGCCAAAACCAAGGAAATGAATTGTCCAGAAAATTTAGTGTATCAAACATGCCTAAAGTGGAAAATGAAATTTCTTTTCCATTTTCCATGGAACATTTCAGTCAATCAAACAAAGCCTAAATGTAAAACTAGGATAGAATGATCCATCATAAATTTACGCAGTAGATAAAATTTCAATCAAGTTTAGCCCAAAATTCCAAATATAAGTTCTAAATATGAATAATTCTCCAAGTACAGGAAATATTGCCAGATTTCCTACAGAAATTTGAATTAAAAAATCCTGTCCGTGTATCCCTTTTTTTCCCTCCTGAATGTTTGAATCCATTTCAAATTTCCGTGTGCATTCTGTGAAATTTATCTGTACTTACAGCATTGTTCTCTAAATATACATCATAGGGTTGTATCTTAACTTGAGTGGTGGCGATGTATTGGAATTGTCGTAGTTACGGTGGAGTAATTGGTGGTGGTCAGGCTGCAACGATGGTTGTGTCTAATAATTTCTATGAGGCTGTACTCATGGTCACCAAAGAAAATTCCCCTTTATTGGTTGAGACCAATCTGATGTTTGGTGTAGCTAAAAATTGGATTTTTAGTAGATTTTAATAAAAATTGATCAAATATATGTTTAAAAAGTTGATAAAAATTATAATTGTCGTTATTTATGTGCTAAAAATTAATTACTAACTTTAACTTAATTTTTTAATCTATTTTGTAAAGCCACACCAATCAGGGACCAAGATTGATACTATCTCCTCTTTTTGTGATTATTATATTGTCTAAAAGTTGGGTTATTGGGCTGTTCATGAATAGTTACATGTTACTGGGCCAATCTATGTTGGACTTTTTATACATTGTCGGGGCCCCAGAATCATTTGCACATGAAATTAAAGATATTTTTCCTATTATTTTCTTAAAATAATTGAGATTTTTGCTAATTAGCCTATTAATTAGAGATTTGGGTCCAAAGAAAAAGATTCTGCCTCTACAAAAGTATCCAAAAAGAGTTTAATCAATGTCATTAATATTTATTATTTAAAAAAAAGAAGAAAAAGATCAACTAAAAGAAAAAAGAGAAGGTCAAGAGACATAAAAACAGTAACATAGTAGGTACTAGGTAGGGTTTACTATTAGGAAACATTATCATAGACTTAGTAATAAGCATGTCCTGCAAAAGCTTAATAACTGCTTGAAAAGAACCAAACATGACACAATCATAATCCAAACCCTTCCTATTTTGGGCAAAACATTTCCTTTCCCATATCTCATTTTTCATAATTTTAGTAGTTGGATTAGCTTGTTGTTGTTGTTAAAGATTTAGGGTCTGATTGGCAGAACTTTTTGTTTTTACTTCTACTTCTACTTCTACTTCTGTAAATAGCTTCTTGAAGAAGCTAAATTAATTCATTTTTGAAAGCTAATTTCTAAAAAATCTCTTTTTCGGAAGAGCTTTCCGAGGAAGAAATATTGGGTGGCGGAACTTTTGCTTTTACTTTTACTTTTACTTCTCTAGATAGCTTCTTGAGGAAGCTAAATTAATTAATTTTTAAAAGCTAATTTCTAAAAAATCTCTTTTTCGGAAGAGCTTTCCGAGGAAGATATATTGGGTTAACTTTATCTAAAAACTCTTTTAACTGGAAGAACCCTTTTTATAAAATTAATTAAACGGGTCTGGAGGAGCTTTTTGTTCAATGGCAATTGATTAAAGGACAGTTGCTCACTGCAACGTGGGTCCCAGTGTGCCAGCAATAATTTACTTCGTACAAATGAAATGTCGAGAATGCCGTTCCATCATGCAAAATGGTTTAAATGTAGAGGACAAAAAGGTCATTTTTCCATAGAATGATTCAAAATGCCCACTGCCATGTCAGAATTCCTGCCAATTTTGTCTAAAGTAACGGTCCAATTTCACTATTGCAACGGTCCAAATTTGGCTTTTAAGCCCGCCCAGACACAGCCTGAAAACTGATTTTGACTTCTTAAAAGCTATGCAAAAATAGGCCCTTAGTCAACTTTTAGTCCATGTTTGGTATCCTTTATTTCAAAAAAAAAAAAGTAATGTTTTGAATAATATTTTTTGTAGAATATGTGATTAAAAAATGGAATTTTTTTTTGAGTTTACATGTGAAATATTTTATTATGTGAATGTGTGGTTAAAAATGAATATAGAAAATAAATTAAAGTAAATTAAATGGAATCAAATAGGGGCTTAGTTAAGCTTAGGTTTAATGATAGTGGAAATTACATCCACATATATTTTTTTTTAACACAATTCAAAAATAAGATATATAAACTTTTTATTAAAAAATCAAATGATAATTCAAATTTTTAATAATAATAATGTATTACAAAATTAAATATACATATTCATCCCACCCTAAACCCTAATCATTTTCATTCTATCTATTATCTCTACTCTCACTCTCTCTCTCTCTCTCTATATCCCACCTTCTCTCTTTCTCTCACTATTGCAATCGAAAGCCGTCGATGGCGCAACGCGTCCCCCCTTCTCTCCTTATCATCTATTGCAACTGAAAGTTGGTCTTCGAGAGCATTGCCAATGACACCATGGCGTCGCCCCGCAACATCGCCACTACATGTGACGAGAGCGTTGCTGCAACAAAGGCTGTTGTGCACTGCAAGCAGCGGCATCACTATTGTAAGGCGACATGAGTAGCACTGCGCAGCAGCCGCTATGCACTATGCTCGGCAATGATGCTGCTGCAGGATCTGGTGCACTGATGTGGCTACGCGACCTACTGCACTGTGCGATCTAGTGAGGTCGAAATTTTAGGGTGGATTTTGTTGGTTGTATTTGCAATTCTTGTGGTGGTGGTAGTGGCGATGTTGATGGCGCTTGTAAGGTGGTTGTGATATTGGTGGTGTTGGAGTGGTGGCATTGGCGGTGTTGGTGTGGTTGTGGTGGAGTGAGATGAAGAGTGCTATGACCAATTATTTGGATGTTGTGATCAATAAATTGGTTAATTTGTGACCAATAAATAATATTTGACCTAAAAGAATGTATGATTGTGACTAAATTTAGAATTTTAACATAATTTGGTAAGTTGTGATCAAATAATTTGATAATTTGTGACTAAAAAATAACTTGTGATCAATTAATTTGATTTGTGACCATAAAATTAGTTGCGATATATAAAATTTGTGATTTGTCACCTATAAATTGTGTCCTATAAAAAATTTTATTTGTGACCAAAAAATAATTTATGATCAATTAATTCGATAATTTGTGACCAAACCGTATAGAATTGTAACATTAATATATTTAATTAATAAAATATATATTTAATTAATTATTTCATAAATGAAATGTAATTGATATCTTTAAAGTTTTAAACCTTGTTTCTTAGTTTTGAAATGGACATACTTAATCTCTTAGATATGAAATTTTCCATATGCACACAACATAATGACGGTAAAAGATTCGTATACTCGAACTCTTGTATATTAAAAAAAAGATTTCACTTATTATAGTCATCATCATCGTCTTCTATGTAGAGAGTAAACCAAAATTCATGCCCCATAAGGTGACATTGAATCTTATGAAAAGGTAAAGAAAAACTTGCTAAGAAAACGAGACCACACAACAATGGCTGCAAAGTTCTTTTTCTCCCTCTTCCTCCATTGGCTCCAAGCTTGTCCATGCATTCTCTCTTGCAGAAGTGTCAAAGCTTTGAACAACTGAAATTGTTCTTGTTGTCTCTCCAACAACCTTGTAACCTGCTAAGAAATACAAATGACTTCCAATTGGTGCCATTGTTATGTATAGTCTCTCTCCAACCCCAGAAATACCTTTGATTTGGGAGCCTTCAACAATGTACCACAAATTAAG